TAGAAATTGAAAAAGAGAATTTTGTTTCTAGGTAACAACAAGAAACATCTTCCAAAGATGATGTAAAATCAAGTTCAAAGAAGTAAGAGATTCGATAAAGAAAATATATTAGGATCAAGTAGATTGATTCGTGTTGTATTGCGGAAGCAAAATAGGGAACACTTGGAAAAACATCAAGTCAAAAGTGATCCTATAATCCTAAAGGAGGTTTTGGCTTCTAGAGAGTATTTTTTGGAAAGATGCTATAAATGATGAGATGAACTCTATAATGTCAAATAATAGTTAATAAATTATTGATCTACTGATGGGATCAAAAGTATCAAGTGTAAGTGGGTATTTTGAAGAAAATAAAATACCCATGGATCGATCCAAAACTATAGAGTTAGATAAGTAGCTAAAAGGTATCGACAAGAGAAGGAAATACATTATTTTACACTTGTGCACTTGTAACTATAATGACTTTTATTAGGATCCTATTTGCCTTAGCTTCCATTTAAGATTTGTGTGCTTATCAAGTTCAAATGATCAGGATCTCAATCATAATGGACAGATATCGTTATCCACAATATAATTGCCAAGTTTTGAGTTTTCTAATAAAGAATGTGAGTCTACACCCTTTCCATTTTGTGTCATTTTCATGTACGAATTTCACAATTTTTTGCATATGTTTTTCGTGTCCCAATGCAAAACATATAGAGAGGTCGTAAGAATTAATGAATGTCGATAAAGTTAAGGGTTTTGATTATAATTAAAATCACCTCTTCCAACCCTCATTTTAAATTTTTGTGGGTCGGCCTCCCACATAAGCAATGACACACAACCCAATTTCAAACACAAACGAAGAAGGGTATTAGAACATCTTCAATGTGTTCGGTGGATTGCAGTGGATGTGTCAAGAAAATGGAAAGCCTTTAATTTTTATGGCATTAATGTCTATCTAGAAGACATTCAATGACAAAAGTGATCTTCAATACTATCTATTCAATTTGAAATTTAAAAAGAACAAAAGTTGGAGAGAGAGAGAGAGAGAGAGAGAGAGAGAGAGAGAGAGAGAGAGGCGCCTCAAATACATTCATAAAAATATAATTTACACGGTCTAACACACCCTCTGTAGTAGACAGCATCTTTGACACTGTCTACTTATTTACCCCCGTTTGGTTCTCATTTTTCGACAAAAAAAAAATGGGTGAAATAGTATTTTTTTCGAAAAATAAGTAGTTGAAAAAGAATGAAAAGTGTGTAATATTATTTTATGGAAGATTGTGTAATTGAAAATAGGAGAGAAAAAAATGAAATGGAATTTAATGGGTGCCAAACAAGAGTTATGATGCTAGGTCACCTTCACAGTGTAAACACAAGCACCCATAATGCCAGGGGTGGCCCTGGTAATGTAGCAGGGTTCATTGGAGATGCTTTTAAAGTGTGTGTTTGAACCACATTATTTTAAAAGAATGCATTTTAGAATAGTAGATTGATGAAAAAATGAGGAAATTTTTTTTGAATTTGTGTGTAATATTATTTTATTGAAAAATGTGTGGTTGAAATCGTGGACAGATATAGGGGTGAGCTACACTTGGCTACAGTTCATCGTTGTCTAGGCCCAAATACACTATTTTTTATTTTTATTTTTATTTTTTTGTTTTAATTGTAATCTATTAACCTATCAACAATTAATTTCAATGGGCTAGCCCACCTCAATTACTCAAATGATTTTTTATTTTAATCTTTGACCCACTTATTTATATAATTTTAGGCCCAATTTTCCCACAAACTTGTTTAATTTGTATCAACAGATTCAATACACATTTCTTCCTTTTTTTTCACGTAATAACGTTCCTTCGCAAAATTAGTTGAAATAATTCTCGAAATCTTTCAACCCTAAATCTTTTCACCCATCCATAGCTGCCAACCACCAACTGCCATAGTATTTTCATGTTTGGGGTTTATCCATGGGCGGAATGTAAAAAAATTAGGGCACCGACTTGGGTAATTTTTCTCCAACCATCCAACGAGAAATTCTTTCAACTTTGGGGTTTATTTTTATTATTTAGAAAATGGGTTCTTAGTTTTTTGGGATTCTTTTGTTTAATTGGTTTGTAGGTGAAGCATTTTAAAGTACTATGCTATTTGCTAAAAAGAGAGTTTAGACTCCATAGGTTGTTGAACTAGTTGAGGAGGTTCAAGGTTGGTTTTCTGACTTTGGATGAAAAATCTCATTTCATAGCAAATAGTAAATTGGTATAAAGATTTTAGCTTACCGGTTACTGCCTTAGCCTACGGCCTACTGGTGATTGTGCATTCACATGTATTATTTTGGTGTTCGGGAAATAATAATATTGTGCAAAGCAATTAAGCAAACCGTGGGCTTTGAAAAATATTAGCTTACTGGATTCTTGGAAATTGGAATCGAATATTTGGAAAGTTATATATTAGTAATTATTAATTAAACGAAAATAATGTACTGGTAACAAAGTCGTTAAGCTATCTACTGTGCAATTGTGTAATTTGGGTTGATGGTTTATGGTTATGGTTATCTTTATGCCTTTATGGGATATTGAAGCATTTTGATTTTTATGCTTTTAGATTTAATATGGGAGAAGATCGACCTTCTTCCAAGAAAAGAAGAACCTTGTTGTCTTTCATTTCAAAAAATAACAAATCTTAGGTTCTCTAATTCCTACGGCGCCCATTCCTCTAATTTCATCCCCTAAAGTTGAATGGCCTTCATCTTCCAATCTTAATTTGGAATCGTCTGATTCTATTAAATAGGACCCCGGAAAAAGAAAGCAAATATGTGAACATTCATTTAAGGAACGCAATCAAATTAGGTGGGTCTATCTAAATGTTAACCAAAACTTTTTGAGTATCAGAGCAAAGAATGTCGAAAGCAAAAAATGCTGATTTTAGGAATGTTGGCACAATCAGTTTCCTTGGTTGGAATATTCGCCTTCAACACATAAAACATATAGTTTTTATTGCTTCATTTTTCTCAATGATAGTACTCCACCTAATATTTCATCATTGGTTACTATTGGATTTGATAGTTGGAAGAAGGTTAACTAAGGAACTAGATGTGCATTTCTTATTCATATTGATACAACATCTTCATTGTTTCATAATGGCTATAAGAGAAGAGCTGAAGATATAATAAAACCAACTCAACAGATTGACAAGGTAATGCATTATGTATCAAGTGAGGAAAAATAGAAAAATCGTTTACGTCTAAAGACTACTATTATGAGTGTTAGGTGGTTAGCACTTCAAGGTTGTTCCTTTAGAGGCCATGACGAATCTCCATCTTCACTGAATCATGGAAATTTTATTGGACTGGTGAATGCATTTGGAAAAATGAATATTGAAGTAGGAAAAGTTGTGTTGGGCAATGCTCCCAAAAATGCTACATACACTGATACACATTTCCAGACATTCAAAAGAAATTTTGAACATTATGGCCAATAGAGCACGATAAAGAATTCGTGACGAAGTTGGGGATGCAAAGTTTAATATTCATGTGGATGAAGTACGAGATGAATCTTTAAGAGATCAAATGGCCATTATCTTGAGGTTTGTGAGTAGTAGTGGAATTTTGAAAGAACTTTTTTTTTTTTTTGGCAATTAAAATTGTTAGTAACACTACCTCATTAAATCTTAAGAATCAAAATTCTGATGTTCTTGTCTGTTTCAACCTTCAAGTGCAAAACATGAAAGGTCAAGAGCATGATTGGTGCTAATAATATGCGTGGTTCTTGGAATGGATTATAGGCATTATATCGTAGAGATTGTCCATATATGCATACTATGTCCAATGTTTTGCCCATTGTTTACAACTCACATTGATTTATGCAGCTAGGGATGTCTCATATATTAACTCATTTTCTCATTTGAAAAACATGGATAATATTTGCACACTTGAAGAGAAGTTTTATCTTGAAAATTTTACACAGCACGATATTTATTGTTGGAAAGTTGAGTTACAATATTATCAGAATGATGTGATTTCTCAACCTCGATTTCAAGTACCTACACTTTCTGATTTATGTCGGGAATTGACTGCAAGCAGAAGGTCGAAAAATTACATCATTTTGACTAAATTGATTTGTTTAATACTGACACTACCTATTTCAACGACAATTGTGGAGCGAGCATTTTCAACAATGAAACATCTAGAGACGAAAATTCATAACAAAATGGATGATAGTTTTCTTGCTAATTGTTTAACACTAAACATTGAACGAGAATTTAGTATGAATTTAGATTTAAATTCTATTATAGATGAATTTTATGCTATAAAACAACGCCGAGTACAATTACAATAGGTAATTTATATTATGAATTTTTTTTATTATATATAAATTTTATTTGTACATTAAATTTTTAAAATTTTTTGCTCCCCGTAGCATTAATTCCTAACTCTACTCCTGGTTAAAATAATGTCAAATCACTATTTAAAAATGTATTTTTTTTTTTTTTTTTTTTTTTTTTTTTTTTTTTTTAAAAATTTTTTTTTTTTTTTTTTTTTTTTTTTTTTTTTTTTTTTTAAAGAACGTCATTCAAACGGGGCCATAATCTCCATTTTAACAGATCAATATGTAAGAGCATAAACTCTACATTTTATAAAATCAATATGCACAAGCATGAATCTCTACGAAGCACCACTCCGTTCAAAGTGATGCACCAAAATCAATCGAAAGGTGTAAATTTACAGAACTAAACCTAGAAGAATTATCGAATCATTTATTTTTGGCTTAAACTAACACGGAAGTTTTCTTCAGGCTGCTTTTGCCACGTGTACTTGGCAGCTTCAATCCATCCTGGATGGACCAAAAATTTACTCTCTTGCATCGCCCAATAAGACTCATGCGTTCCTGCATCGATTGACACCACATGCGTTACAGAGGAGTCAAGTTCTGTCAAGCATCTAGCTCCAAGTTGCTCTGCCATTTCCCATAGCCTCTGATGTTCATCCTTGAAAGTAGTTGCGATATCAGAGCTGAAGATAACTTCACAACCCTTTAAAACTTCTTGACGAACAGTTTTTAGTAACTGTCATCATCAATATGATTCGCAGTTAGAAGATAGTCAAATTGATTAAGCCTACGAAAAAAATATATAGGACAACAATACTGAACAGAACCAGTAAATTTAGTCATTATACGGAAAATTTACCAGCCTCACATCTTGGCTCTCTAGATTGTCCTCGTGTTCCTGGAAGACCAGATCCTAATCAGTACAACAGCAGATAATAAAAATTCGGTTACAATTGAAGTGTTGCGCGCTATCGCTTACCAAGCCAAAGAATAAACTGTGGATCCGTTGTAGAACTTTAAGAACAGTAGCAAGAGCTCCCTCAGTCTCACTTTCATCAATTCTTAGTTCTGCAAGTGAATTGGAGTTGAGGCCAAATTGTTTACAACTTGAAGCAAAGAAATGATATCTTTCCATTAATATTAAGTTCTCCTTGTTCTCCTTCCAAACCTAAAACAAAAGAAGGCGACTTTAATTATTGTAACATACTGTTGATGACTCAAATCAAAGAATAGATATGATTATCCGGATTTTATTGAATGCAAACATCATTTTAATAATAATTATCAGCGATAGACTGATTTGCTATATGAGTCAAAAGCTATAT